TTTTTTTTTTTTTTTTTTTTTTTTTTTTTTTTTTTTTTTTTTTTTTTTTTCCACACAAACGCTTTCACGTTATTTAAATCCTACAATTTACCGTACAATTAAATACATATAGATACAATTAAATGAATTATCAAATTCAATTTTATAATTCATTTACAATTAATAAGCAGAAAAAAATTAAAACTTCTGCCGATCGATGAATTGAGATCATTACTGCGGTGTATTTACACACAATATTTTTTAAAACCGCTAGTTGATATTTTTAAACAAATTCAATTGTTAATCAAATTTAATTATACTATATTCCACTGATCTTTAATTACATAGACATTTGCAGTTGCGCGTTTACTTTTCTTCTACTCATCCATATATTTATTTATTTATTTATTTATTTACTTATTTATATATTTATATGTTCAATTAATTAATTAAGATACTAAAGTACCGTCATTCTTATAAAATATTTTATTCGCGAGAGTCGCATTCTAAAATAATTAATGTTTTTAAAAAATTGTCCTACAAGAAAATTTACAAAATTTAGCGAATTGAGAAAAGAAGGACAGAGGCGAACAATTATTATTATTTAAGTGTTAATATTAGGGCCAGAATTTTTGCTTTTATTTTAAAATAATAATTAATGGTGTTAAAAATTGAATTTTAATAAATTTTATATATATTATATACGAATTAATTTTATAAAAAAAAATGTCTCTTATAATTTTTTTTTTTTTTAGGAACAATAAGAAAGCTGTAATTTAAAAATTAAAATTTTTATAATTAATAAAAATTTGAATGTTTATTTTGAAATTACGTTAAAAATATTGATTGTAAAAAAAATTATCAGAGACATTGTTTTTATAAAATTAAATTTTTTACAACCTTCTAATATTTTCGGTGTAATAATAAATATTTAAGTGATTTATTTTAAAATGAAGGCAAAAATTTTGGCCCGAGTTATATTATTTTGTCACCTTTTGATAAAAAAAAAAACCTTCAAATTTCTCATTGAGCAGATTTGCATGTCGTATTACATTTTTACAATAGGGTCAATAAAAATTTTTGAGTACTCAAAAATGTTAGCTGTAAAAATTAAAAATTTTTGAAAATTAATTTATAAAATTATAAATTTTATATTAAAAAATCAAACTACCTATAATAATTTTTCAATGAAATATTTTACAATATAAAATATAAAATTTTTTATAATTCAGACCCTTAATAAATTTGAAATAATTTATAATAATACAAATAAAATAAATTGATAATTGGCAGTGTAAAATTTTTAGCAGTCGTAGTTGCAATTATCTCGCTCAATATAATTAATAATAAGAAACAATTAACGTGGTAAAGCGTTCATCACTTTTACACTACAATAAATTTCTTTGTTTCACTGCTGTATGTGGGTCTTTATAATTAATTTTTAAAACTCAATATCAATACGCGAATTTTTGTTCTAAATTAAAATAATATTACTATTAATAATATATTTATAATAGTGATAAAAATAAAAATAATATTTAAAGGCGCTTCTGTTATTAACTTAAAAGATGCTCCTTACTTATTTATCGGGGTAATTAGGTTAATTATTTGTACAAATAGTTCTAACTCTGTCAAAAAATAAAACAAAAAAACTATAGGTAAGGTTCCACGCTCTCTCACCATACGAGTTTTATCTTTCTTTCCACAATACAAAGTAACTCTCAGGTACGTGGACGAGGCTTTTTGTTTACTTACTTATTACTGTAATAATAGTAATCTGTTTTTTAATAATTATAGTGAATTGTTGGCCTCACAGACATTCGAGTCGTAAAGTAGATCCTCTGCCTCTACTCCAGGGTTTCTAACTCGTCGGAATATCTGTGTTCCATAACAAATCCTCAAGAAGTCTGGCTGGACTGCGGCGCAGAAATCGCTGAGGAAATTGAGGTCGTGTGAAGTGTAAATCCGTTGTAAACATCCATTAAATCACGCATTCTGTACTCTTCAAGGCACACAAAGCCTTCGAGAGACGGGGCTTGTTTTCGGGCACAGTCCATGCAGTGGACCACGTGACGTTTTTCTTGTTCTCGAATGAATAAAATGTTGAAAACTTCAATCTGTAAATAAATTCAATTGTAAGAATTTTTTAGATTTTATTTTTAAATAAAAATTAAAAGAGATATATTTATTTTTTATTTTGTCTGGATCTATGTGTGTAGTAGAATTTTTTTAATTAAATTTTTGACCATAATTTAATAAGTAGCGTCAAGATTTTTGATATTATGGCTAAAATATTTTTTTGAAACAAAAGTTTAAAATTTATTTTATCATAAAAAGCGCGAAGTACTTAATGTCAATTTTTAAAAATATTTTATTAATTTATTTTCAGTCAAGAATAATTATTTATTAAAAATATCTAAAAAGCCACGCCATATTTTTAAACACTAAACTAAATTTTTTATTTAATTTTCACCTGATAAAAAAATTATTCCCTACTTATAAATAAAATTAGCAATTAAACCTTTTCAAAACTAATTTTATCTCCCTGCCATCAGACAAAAAAAATAAATATACACCTGGAGCCATACGGGCATGCGGGTGTAAGTAACAACAATCTCCAAAGCATCAGTACAAAAAAAAAAAAAAAAAAAAAAAAAAAAAAAAAATTCAAACTCACTTCACATTGTCCGCAGTAATGAGACGCTTCATTCTTCCCTCTGCCATGGAATCTAACTTCAACACCCTTACTCTTGACAAACTCCAAAATAATACAGCACTGCTTCATAGTCCTGAGCAAGCAGTTCTTAATAAGTTCAAAGAGCCTGGGATCAGAAACCTTGATGTTCCTGGCCAAGTTCCAAGACAAATGAACCATAGGAACAATGGACTTGAATGACTGTAGTTTGTTCCACTCGTAGCGTTCAATGGCCAATTGGTACTGCCTGGCCGTCAATGGTCCCACGTTCCAAGCAATATTATTACACCAGCCAACAGCTTGTACCCAGTGAACACATCCAGCATTGACCCAGACGAGATCTCCAGGTCGCTGCAAGAATCTGTAAACCGGGATGTTCTCATCGTACAAGTCCTCCAGAGAAGGCCACCAGCTGCCGTGAAGATAATTGATGTTATTCCTTTCGCACAAGTTGTGAATAACACCCCAGTAAGCATCTGGAACAGCGAACCACTCGCAGTCACCCGGCCCGATGTTGATATTAATCGAGCAGAAGTTGTTGTTCTCCTGATGGCCGGGTGTCCTGCTCCCCGGGACCTTCATGTACAGCTGGACAGTGTTCATGCCCAGGATAACATGCCCGACATGACTGAGCATGTTTCCAGCAGAAACAACCCTGGCAAACGCGGGGAGCTTCATCAGTTCCTGGAGCTGGGTCTTCCACTTTCTCTCATCAGACAAATCGACATTGGTGCCGAACCTGAGCATCTTGGACCCTGGGCGTCCAGCCAAGCCGTAGGCGTTCTTCTTCCTCTTGACGACCCCAGTGCTGTCCTTGGAGTCAGAATCTGACAGATTAGCCGTGTGAATGCCCTGGGACTTCTCTCGCTCCTCCTTGAGGCTCTCCTGGAAGCTGGAAGCCTGGTACTGGGCGTACTTGGCAATAGTCGTGTGACTACGGTGGCTGATGCAGCCCCAGACCTTCCTGGACATGACCGGGTCCCAGTTTTCGTCGCTGGTCTGTTGCATCTGGGTCCTCACTTCTATCCCGTGGTCAGGGTTCGCCTCGACCAGAGTCTTGGTCGAGAAGAGACCCAGGTCGAGCTTGAGCGCAGCCGCAAGCCCGCGAATCACAGCTATCGGATGCTTCAGACAAAACTCCTGCAACTGCGGACTAAATGCATCCTTTTTATTCTCTAAATACACGCTGGGCGTCGGCGGCAGAAGCTGCTCGCGGGTCAGTCTCTGGGCTGGAGGCTCTGGAGGCGCTGGTGGAGGCGAACGGTCTGAAAGTATTGAGCAATTTGGCACGCCTTTCAAACCCTGGCCTTTGCAGGCTTCGATAATACTCTTGGCGTCCATGTCGATTGAGAACTCGGGATCTACCGGTGACTCTCGGAGACTTTCTAGTTTCAACACCGGCTCGCTGGTGCTATTGCTACTGTTGCTACGTATTGAGTCAATTCTATTGCTAATATTAATATTACTATTACTATTATTATTATTATTATTATTATTATTATTATTATTATTATTATTGTTACTATTATTAGTGCTAGAAGTTGCCTCACACTTTACACTGTCGGCGAGCGAGTTTATTTCACAGTCCGGGTCGACTCTTTCTACTTTAACTTCCTTTATCCGTTCGCTGTCGAGGTTAGAGGGCGAGAACGGACCCGAGCTCAGGGTCCCGTTGTTCATTATCGGGATCGGGTCTTCTTTCTCGTCGAGATCCTCGGACCCGAAATGCTTGAGAAGATCTTCGGCGAGAGTCGTCGCGAGGTCCTTCTGCGACAGCAAAGCGTGCAGCTCTTGGTCCGTCACGTTTATGTCCTTGGAACCTACGCTGCTCTCCGGGTAGTTCCCGGTGGTTGATGTTATCTGGGTGTAACCCTGGGTACCGTATTGGTTGGCTTGGTAGTGGTTGTACTGGCCAGCTCGCTGGGTGTAGCTCGAGTCAGCTGCGGACTTGTAAGGCATGCCTGGACTCTGCTGCGCGTTCCCAGTTGCTGCGGTATTGTAAGCGACATTAGAGTCGGAAAATCCTGTTTGCAGTGCTACTGTGCCTCCCTGGGGCTGTTGTGACATCCCGTAGGTTTTTATTACACCTGGCTGAGCTTGCTGTTGTCCTTCTCTGACATTTGTGTAAACTGAAAATTTATTTATTATATTAATATATGATCATGGTGTCAATTTATGGATTGTTTTTTTTTTTTTTTTTTCTCTTTTTTTCAATACTCAGGGCAGTTTATCTGATCCGTAATTTAATGTTCAATTAAAATTTTGAATTAGAATTTTACATATATATATATATATATATATA